TTTCTCAACTGTGCATGCACTTTCGCATCCTGTGAATATTATTCATAACTAACGGAATGTTTGTGAATGGGTCATCACTAGCTACCTTTCAGCAGGCATTATCACTAGCGACTCACATAATTTCTCCACATTAGGACAAATGAACAATGCGAGAAGGTCAATAAAAGCACATACCTGACTTGTACAAATGGTTGCAATGTTTCCTACAAACACAAGAATCCAAGAAAACAATATTTATCCTAGCATCACAAAATGAAAATCCAGTTATTCGATTATCCAAATATCGCAGTATTAACCGAATAACCAACTGATTATCTGGTGAATCTGGTCATCCAGTTTTCAAAACCGAATAACCGATGAATCGAATAACCAGATAACTGGTTTTGTCGCAAAACCGGTTTAACGTTGATGCCCTACCGCGAAACAGCCACCGACCGAAACACCAATCGAACGTAAAGCCACAGCCACGGGATAAAAAACAGTTTTTATGCAGCGGCTGTGGTAAAGCTAAGCTAATAGGCGAACTGTTGCTCACAGAACCCATTTTGAGAATCAATGTGCACATGCTAGAGCATCCAGGAGCCATCTCGCACGCAGGGAAATGACTCCACATTTACAGTTACTCGCTCAGGGCAAACACGCACGAGTAGGGGGACCGCACGCAGTAGCGTCGACATTAAAGTCACAGCTACCAAAGGAACGAGCTACGCACAACAAAGAACCCGAGAGTCAACCCCGCTTTTGCTTGCCACTTGACTCGGTGGTTTTCGCTAAGCGGCAGTGGTACCAGAACACAGAGCGTAGCTAGTAGAAGCAGCACACTCGATGCACGGCAGCACATTTTTGCGGGGTCATGCATATTTACAACAGTTTAGAGAAGACTATGGCGGCACCATGGGAGCCTTCATCACCATAAAGGTGCAAAGTAAAATAAAACGTTTGGGTGCGTCTTATTAGTCAACTTGGCATTTTCCCTGCGCTAAAGCTGAGGTTGGTATCAAAATTCTAGCTTTCAAGGCTGTTTTGGAGCAGTTCAGCGCAAGGAAACGGAAATGTATCAAAAATGCGCACTATGCGCAGCTGTCTCACCCCTGAATTGATCCTACTTATAGTCATAAAAACATGGGACATGTACGGATCTAGATGCGTTAGAACCCTAGCCTACTAGTAGCCTCTCCCTAACCTTAGTACGCTTTTTAGCAAGACACTCGAGTACTGTAGGGAAAGTAACCTAATATGCGCTTTGCACGAAATGACGAAGGCCAGAAAGTTTTAAAACCACTGTCCTTTATTGTTATTTCTTATCGTGGGGGGTTCGCTTTAAATTCGAGTCTCTATGATGCAAATAGGAAAGTTCCCCAAGGCATGTGCCCCCAACAATCCTGCATGTTGAAGTTGTGATGCCTAGCTCCTTCGCCAAGACCTTCCTTTTCCGGTTCTCATCCACCTTTCACAGGATGTCTGATTGCAAGGACATGGTTTGCATCGATGTGGCAGACACATGTAAACACAGTGTAACATTGCTGCCTTGAGGACAGGAGCATGCGTTGGGGTGGGGGCAACTGTGATGCCAAAACCATCTGCAATCTAAACCCAAAGGCACGCGAAGGCGCATTAGGGCCTCAGAGATTTGAGTGCATGATTTGTCGTGTCTTCTGCAGCAACGGAGGCAGTACCTGCTTTGAAACAGCGTGGTAGCGTATGTTTGCATCAAACGTCACGGGGGTGAAAAACGATGAGCAAAAACCATACACCATTAAATTGTAGGCTGATGGGCCTCAGCGGGGGACTACAGTGAAATTCGTTTCACCCCTAAATTTGTACAAGCCATTATTGTATCACCGAGGTTTCACAGTACATAGCCCCGTTTTCCAAATGACTGGGTGAGTACATTACATCCCGATGTGTGACATGCATAATCACATCTATTAACACACATACTGTGTTCTTGCATATAACCCACTACTACATGCTCACCCAGCACCCATATATTTTATGTGCAGTTTTTCATAATTTGGTGCGGGTTATATACAGTATACACAGAAAATACAGTATACACAGTTGCTGACAGTTTATTTGGATGCGGAAAACTCAGATGATTTGATTGATTCATGGGGTTCAACGTCCCAAAACCACCATATGATTATGAGAGACGCCGTAGTGGAGGGCTCCGGAAATTTTGACCACCTGGGGTTCTTTAACGTGCACCCAAATCTGAGCACACGGGCCTCGACATTTCTGCCTCCATCGGAAATGCAGCCGCCGCAGCCGGGATTTGAACCCGCGACCTGCGGGTCAGCAGCCGAGTACCTTAGCCACTAGACCACCGCGGCGGGGCGATGCGGAAAACTCAGACATGCACATTTATTTCGACACCTTCAGAGCACTGCCACTTGTCCCATCAAGGTAATGTAAACTTGCGACTGAAAATTTGGATGCCCCACAGTGCGCCGTTACAATTTTTCGCACTATAGCTGGTCGATGAAGCCCAACATCGAGTGCCATAACCAGCTAGCTGTCCGCAATGTTTACAATAATTTCACTAAATTGCCAGCACTGAAAGGTTGCACTGGCTATGGCTGGAGACCATGCCAGCATAAAAATCGATGCATAAATTACAATTGCCGATCTCTAAGGCTAAGTTTTTTGGCTACATGTAATAGCTGCCTTGCAGCTTTAGCCAGCTGAGTATCCATCGAATCGTTGCCACAACCAAACCACAAGCCAAGTTAAACCACGCTTGGAGTCAGCTGGGTGTGGCGTTAAGAGAATAACCACGTGCACGAACCAGACGAACTAAACCATGAGCGCCGCAGCATGAACTAGCCTGCTGTCGCTCTCTTTTCGCATTTGAGTATTTGCGTTGTTAGTTCTTTCTGCAGCTAGGCCTAATCTGCGTCTCACACTTTGCATCTCGCTCTCTTGTTTGTTTATTGAATGCAAGACCTTATCTGTTGAAATGGATCAGACGCCACCCATACCATTTACTACGTCAGTACCAATGAAGAAACACTGCACCTACAAGACACTGACGATGGCAAAAAAAGCTGCAATTAATCCCCGGGTTGAAGGCAGCTAACGTATATCTAATGTTGCTTGGAACTTTTCACAGAGTTAGACGATGATGAGATTGTCTGTCAGGCCCTCAAACTAGCGCACACATAAAGCAACTCTGATGAAGCGCCGCCGACAGCACTGTTACCAAATGCCTATTTAGAACAGGCCGTAACAGCGCTATTCAACTTACACTGATGGTCAAACACTGGCTGAAATACATGCAAAGTTGATAATTTGTGATCGTGCTTGTATGCAGACGCACACTGACAAGTTCTTCCGGTCACTGGGGCAATAAAGGAGCTTTTTTTCTTTGAAGTTAATTTATTCTTTTAGAACTCCTGATTATTTGGACTTACCAGCGGTTCCAATCAAGTCCAAATAAACAGTCGGTGGGTGTATACTATTTTTGGAGCATTACGATTTCATTTTTTTTTTCTAATTGCGAGTTCGAGCACACTGTGATCAAAGGAGCATAGTTGCACTGTTTCTACTTCTGTTGCAATTGAGTTGGGTATTTTGTTGAATTGAACGTTATTGATTCAGCAGCCTTTAAAACCGCCCTTGTAGCAGCTTGAACTTGGCCTTCGAGCCAACAGACTATTATTTCAAAGGCCTTCTAAATTCCCCTGTGACATGGCTGTATTAAAGTACCTGAAAAAAACTAAAGTAGTGCCAACCGCACCCTTCGCCTCTACCTCCTTTCCCAGCAACCACAGCAGTACCTCTAGAGTGTCCACCAGAAAACTACGAATGCAAACGCACGCGGGTGCACGGGATGTGCTAGATGCTTGGCAAGCTCAGGCACTGCTGCACCGTGTGTTCATCGAGCGGCCGTGCCTCGGGTATGCTGAGAGGGGACCCCGGTGGCATCCGTTCATGGAGCGCGCGCTCACGAAAGTGAAAAAAATTCCGCCATATCCCCGAAGTGAATGATGATGAGTGGGCGAAGCTCCGGAGGTAAACCTGGTAAACCATGAATCCTCTGTACATTTTGCCCACTCGATTTTATTACATCGCTCCCCCTAGCGTACGTCGCCGCACTAAATCGAACGATTGCCTTCAACCAATGACACGCGCCATGTGTGACATCATTCCTATTTTATAAGATCTCGCGTCTTTCATCAACTACAAGTACCGCTTTCTAGTTTATAACATCTTGCATCTTTTCATCATCAGCTACAAGTACCACCATCTAGTAAACACTACAAGAACTAAACGAGAGGTGGCTACATACAGGAGACGGTACCACCATCTAGTGAACACTGCAAGAACTAAACTAGAGGTGGCTACATACAGGGGACGGTACCGCCATCTAGTGAACACTGCAAGAACTAAACTAGGGGTGGCTACATACAGGCTACAGGGGACGCACAGCCCACGCCCTAAGGAGCTTCGCCCCTAAAAACAATATGGCGCTTGTGATACCTACGCAAAAGCTAGTGCGTCATGCTGCAGATTCTTAGCACCGCCAAGTTTACATAGACAGCAGTGGCACTGCCATCGAGAGCGTCAGTGCTGAGCACGTCTGCACGCAAACGGTGGGCTATCGCGTTGAGTATTGCGTGCTTGCGGTGATATTTTTGCTACTGCATGCCACTTGCTTATATACACGTCACATTATTGTATACAACGTTACTTTTCATGTTTTTTCTTTTTCAATCACTTTTTTGGTGCATCGCCTAGAACCGTAACAGCCCTCAACTAGCGCCGTTTACTATCTGCTATGCACGCAAGGGGAGAGGAGCTGCACATTGACACGTTTTTTTCAGGGACTTTAGGCTGTATGTGCAATAATGGTGACTCAACAATAAAGCTTTCAGAACAGGCCTTTTGGAAATAAATTTGATGTAACTGACAGTTCATTAAAACTGGTCCAGGGTTCGAAATTTGAAACAATGATGGGGCTAAAAGTGTACTGCATTGTAATAATAACCGGGGCTCACCTGACTGTCATGTCTTTCGAAGGCAACATGTCGATTTCCAGCACTGTTGTACCATCAAGGCGACGTTCTTGGCATGGCGTAGAGTTCTTTCCACACACCCTGCTGGCCTGATAAAACATATGAGGCTGCACTTTGCCTTGGTCTGTGCCAATGAACACTTGTAACTTCACTTGTTCCTGCAGTCCAGTCAGCTGCAACAGCCCATGAGGTGGTTTCACTAAAGTCAGTATGCTAAAGATTTCGAACATAGTTCAGTACACTACACAGTTCGAATTACTCCAATATGTGCAAACAATTTCGTGAAAAAATTTGGCTTTAAACTGAGCGCAGTCAGACAATAATTGGGGGGAAGAAAATGCTCAGTTCCTGGAGAGGCAAGACTTTTTGCTTCGAGAAAAGGAGAAGAGGGCACGAGAGGAGAAAATATGTTAACTTAGGCTAAACAAGTACTTCCAAAAACGATGCTAGTTCATGTTCATTGTGCTCTGTGAAAAACATAGGGACTCACTGAACTGAACAACTATAATGCAGTTCCCAGTATAAATAAATTTTAGACGTGACTACAAACATGGTGAAATGCCAGTGATGGCTAGTGTTCCAGTAGTCTAGGAAACTTGAACTAAAGCTCTATTATACATTAGTGAAAGTAAACATTTTATGTGGCACAAAAAACTTTTGCATCTTCTTGTCTTAACATAATCGTACCGCACCGACTCTAATTACTGGTTCAAGTTCGCTGTGTGCCTGGTTCAAAAGCAAATTCTAATGCATTTTCATTAGTCACTTCTACAGCAGCTGCTAACACGTCGAATTTCCACAGTGTCAGGTTTTGGGATTTCTGAAACCAGTTGTGACAACTTAGTCACAGCTGGTTCACTTGTTTGAATCTTCAGGTTAAAAAGTTGCCTCATTTTCATAACTGCTAATCCACTAAGTACCTCTAAGTTCATGAAAAATGCATGGGTATGCCATGAAAGTAATCTCAAAGAAATCGCTTAATTACCAAACTTGAAACACTGCAATTTCTGAAACGCTATACTTTTTTGCTCTCAGATGGTGGAGCCTTGTTTCCATTCAGTGAATAGAATCCGTTTCATGCATTTAAAGGGCCCCTGAACTACTCCCACTTTATTTTCAAACATTTTAAGTAAATATGCCTATCGTGTGCAGCATACCCTCGCAATCAATGATTTTACTCGCGGCAGCGCTACGAGCTGCCGCTCGTCACAAATTTCAAGAAACAATACCTCTTCCTCTCCGGGAATTTCGAGCCTGTGTGACGCCGAAAACTTGAATCTCTGACGCGCAACACATCGATGCTATGAATGATGGAGCAAGAGCTTAGAACATACATATGCACGCACTTGTGAATCGGCTACTGCTGCCCTAACACAGGGTGCATACAGGCACGATTCGTATAAGCACGGGCCGGCACAGCAGCAGTAGTTCGCCAACAAGCACACAGTTAAAGGAGTTGACGAAGGGACAGGGTCGCGGCAATTCTAAAAGTAGACGGGGTCTCGAGCAGCACAACGGTGATGACGTGCCTCGCGAGATTGGGAGTGGTGCTTGGCGAGAGAGCAAAGTGGCTTTGGGAGAGGATACCAGCAGAGGGCAGCGAAGGAAAGAGCAAAAGGAGTGATCACCACGTTTCGATAATCAAACGCATCTAACTCCGCTATTACGACAGTTTCTAAGAATTCTTACACCTACGTGGTCGTGGTATGCTCATGCCCAACTTCCCCTCCACAACTGAATTTCGACCCCTGAGTGGTTTAGGGGCTCTTTCAAAAGAAGTATAAATAGCACTAGAATGTCATTAATTGGTTTAAACAAGACTGGCAATTATTTTCAAACTATTCAAATGTAAGGTTTAACTAAATGGTTGAACAAAGTATGGGTTCGAGCTGGTTGGTACTACATGATCCACTATTACGAGAGCAAAATTACTTAGACAACGAACAAAACAGACACGGACAAGCACAAACTTCCAACTGAGTGTATTATTGAAATGAGACATATGAGAGGTATTCCTTCGGGCAGCAATTTTTGTCCTTTATATGAGATGTCTCTTGTAAGCAGGGTACCTTGTATGCATTTCCTTGTCTACCTGTACTTTACTGTAGGCAGACTGGTGTCTCCGATACCCATTTATCTCTTATATCAGTCTCTCTTGTAAAGGGGTTCTAGTATGAATTCGACTGCGTATGTGTGTGTGTCTATCACTGTGTATACTTGTGTGCTGCTGCCACAAGTATGTTATTCAGCACAATATCCGGGTCATGACCATTGCAAAAGAAAAAGTCACAGCTTTGCCACAAAAGTGAGGCAAAGAACGTGATAGCAACAAATTAGAAGGTCACGCACAGAATGGCAAGCAGATCGAAACATATTTCTCGCACCCGTATATATTTCTCCCGTATTTCTCACGCACAAATGGTTCACGAAACGTACTCACAGGTACGAATGAACGTGAATAAGCGCTTCAGTTGTAACTTCGCAGTGTTTGGAAAGTGCGCCCTTTTCGCAAACGGAGACTGTGCAACAATTGCAGTGACTTTTGTGCACCCGGTAACTACAACAGAATCGTTCCAATTAAAGCCCAAGGCCAGCCAAGACGTACGATTTTCCCCAACGTCTACCCCCCACCTTTCTGCGGCGGAAAGTACGCGTGAGAGATGACAGCGCACCGCCCCGTCGTGACAATGTGGCAACGCACGCTCATTGCGCCATCTTGCTGGTAATGCTGAAAAACACGACAGTTTCTCCAAAGATGCACGTTACCAGCGGTAAGTGGTAGATATAAATAGCTTGCCGATTGAACGATGAAGGAGGAGCTCCTTTGTGGCTGAGTGGTTAGCACCTCGCACTCACGATTGAGAGGTCCAAAGTTAGATTCCACGTGCCAGAGTCTTTTTCTCGATTATTTTTATTTCTTGCATTTACATATATATAGATACGTATACATATACTGTGAGTGACAACAACGCCGACTCCAAAACCCAGCCGAGAGTGCCCATATAGTTGCTATCGCAATTAAACAAAATCTTTCATTTCACAAAAATCTCTTGAGGCCGACACAAGCAGGGGCGTTTCCTCTCTTGCTCTGGCCCCTCTCCCACTGGTGCTATTTGCTCATATAACTTGGGGCCTGGGAAAAATCTTAGTATTAGGTCTACATTAAACCATGTAGCCCCCTGTGGGCACTTCTGCTGCACTGCCGGTACTTGAATCGATATATTTGATAGTGGTTCTTAAATATTGAAGCTTGAAGTAGAGCTCACACACCTGAAAACCATTTAAAAAGCGATTTACTGTAAGTGTCTACAGGCATCTAAATTTCAAGGAAACATGTTAGGTGATGGTGCTGGTGAAACGGCACAAAATTATAATACCGCAATAAACAGGTTAGTACACCGGCAAGAAAATACTATCCACAAAACCGATGCAATAAGCAATGCAACAGCATTCCTTCCTTTTTTTTTAACCAAGTGAACAGAGGTAATGCAAGAAGTCCGCGGTGCTAACCGCCAATAGCAAAATATTTACTGATGCTGAAGGAAACAAGCCTGTTTCGAAAATGTACTGCCCGCGCATTTATTATTTTAATGCCATGGCCTACACTAGCAAGTCAGAACCACACATGCAACTTTTATTTTGGAGCAAGAACGGAACATTCTGGAGATGGTGCCAATCGAATGACCTTGAAATACGTATGCAGTATGGGCACACGTACCTTCGGGTCATGAAAGAAACAAATGTTGACGTCAGCTTGACGAACGACCCACTCCCATGATGATGTATGGTGTTTTACGGCGCAAGGGCCATTTGATGGCCAAAGAGCGCCAAGCCAATGGACAAGTGATGCGAACAATGATCATGATAGATGGCTGTAAAAGGGCCTAAAATTACTCGCTGTAAAGGCGGGTAAAACATAGATATTAAAATCATGAGTGTGACGTGTAATGTGTGTAGTAAAAATGAGCGGCAAGGTTGTGATAAACTAAAAGCTTTAAAAAGATGGATCGAGCACGGATGTCTCTTGAAACACCCTTGTTTCCAAGGGCTCCGAGACAGGTGCTTTTTGTGAGGCATCTACCGGAGCAACGGTCTCCGTTTAGAGACCGTGCTGCACCTTACCAGAGTAACTCACGTGAAAAAATTGGAAATCTTTTAAAAAGCTTAAGAGTGATTCTAGGCTGAAAAGAGGGATCCCTACCGATGAACATCGATGAATGGAGCGGCATTTGCTCTCGGTAGGGTAATGGGAAATGTTTTTTTCTAATAGGATCTAATTCACTGCATTGTATTAATATATGAAGGGCAGAAAACACCACATTTGTCACAGATGGGTGGATACCACCAGACAGATGATATGCATGTGTACTGTGTGTGTGTCCTATTTGTAGCCTGGTAAGTGTTACTTGTGTACGGCGTGACTTGGATACTGCAGGCCAGTCTTCAATGTTCCGCTTGACATCGTGTAGCTTATTGTGCGTCTGTGTGTCCCATAACCACAGCCAGTAGGCTCAGAGCTTTCGTCTTACCAGGGTTTTTGTGTCTAGTGGAGGAACACCTAGGGAGGTATCAGCAGCGTTTTCATGGACAGATGCAGCAAGCTGGTCTGCCAATACGATTCCCTTATCTCGCGGTGCCCTGGCACACAGCACACTACGACATGCTGTTTCAGTGTGTAGATAGTGCATAGGAGTGAGTAGGTGAGACGAGCACAGGATTTTTATGCTTTTCAGGGTTTCCGGCGCTTTTATCACACTCAGGGAGTCTGTGTATACTACTGCTTCTTGTGGTTTTAATTCCTTGAGGCGTTTGACTGCTGCAAGCATCGCATAGGCCTCTGCGATAAAATTGCTTGTATTGGGATTGAGAGCACCAAAATTCGAAAACGAATAGCCTATGGCAGCGTAGGACACAGAAGTGCGAGTTTTGGACGCGTCAGTGTAGAACTCTGATTAAGTGTATTTGTGCTGCAATTTGCGGAAATATGTACATATATGTGCAATAGGCACATGTTGTTTTGTAATTTCTACGAAAGATGTATCACAGTCTACAAACCACCACTGCCATGGTGGGAGTTGCATCGCAGGAGGAATAAGGTGTTGGAGCAGCAGGACGTTTGTTTCTTCAGCCAACTCTCTAACGCGCAGCGAAAAAAGGCGCGCCATTGTGGGTC